TGCTGTATGAATAGCATATGTTCATTAAATATTTGCCAAGTGTTCTTCAATCAGTTGCCCTTACTGTGCTTTTTCTTTCTTTCCTCTCCATCTCTATCCTGGTGTCTTCATTCCACTTACTCTCTTCTCTTTTCTCCTGTCATTTAAATGCAGTTGGTTTCCTCTTTTGTGTTCTCTGTTCCTTGCATGTGTCTTATTTCAGTCTCTTTGATCCATGAAGCCACATATTGTATATGTTTTCCAAATCTGAAAATAGGCTGGTGCAACTTCTCTGGGGTGTCCATCCATGGACATTTTAGAAACATTCGTTTCCAGTGCAAGGGACAGCCCCAGAACGGCCTCATTGACATGTTTCCAGGTATAGTGTCCCTTGGGGGAGCAGATAGATAGGGTGTGCTCAGAAATGTCCATCTCAGGCGCACTGTTGCTGACGTGTGGGAAAAGACTAGTGGCTGAAGGAGTAAATGTGCTTACTTAAACTGATAAAAACATAGAGGGCACTGAGCAGGGGCAGCTTTCCCTGTATTCCTTACCATACTTTCTGGATGCTGAAAGAGTGTGCAAGTCTTCAGTTTTGGGTCCATTTCTCTGAAGAATAGCTTTGCTGTTTACCTCTGTTTCCAGCTTACCCAAGTCTTGACGTATGGAAGCTGACATGATTCTTTTCCATTTTATTGCTGCAGATAGAAATCTGAAAAACTTGCGTTGGTTTTTACTTTGCTGAAAGCTGAAAAACAGCAGAAGTGTTGGACCTGTGTGCTTGAAGAATTAGAAGCAGTGAATCTTTTCTCCTTTCTTTTAGTTCACATCTGAAGCCTCCTGTCCAACAACAACAAACCCTCAACTTGCCCCCCACCAAGTTCTGTAGAATGGGGTGGAAAAGACTGCCTACTTGTCCTGTTCTTTTCAGGTTCTTGCATCATGTCCACTTGTGTGGTATTCGAGTACTCTGGGTCAAAGGGTTTTTTTTACAGTGTCCAAATAATTGGTTTTATTGTCAGTTGTTGTTGAGCAGAAAACTGAAATGGAGGGATGGCTAGATTTGTTTGTGCTTGTCTAAGTCATGTTGATGAGCCAGTACATTAGAGGTGATGATTGAAGCATGGAGGGGTGGTGTGGAAGCTGGTGCTAAAATACAGTAACAGAAGAAACCACTAGAAAAATGGATTGTAAAGCCCCTTGGAGAGTTTGTCTAGTATACTTTTTGCAAGGAATTTGTCTGGCCTACCTTTATGACGGCATTCATTACTATATGTACTTTGGGTCATTCCTTGTTTCCCTCTTGTTCTCTCAGTGGAGGTATTGTTGAAAGTAGTTTTGGTGAAAAACTATTTGGGAATGTCCTGATATGAAAGAATGTGTATAATGAATATGCAAGGATTTGGGGGAGCAGGGAAGGGTCACAGACCAGAATGACAGTTTGCCTGCTATTCTGGTAATTAGTAGGGCTGTGTGAAATTTTGGCAGCTGTTTCATTTTGGAGGTGTTTCAGCCCATTTCGGTGCTTGAAACACTGAATCTGAAACAAAATGGAAGGCTCCGAAACATCTCCAAAATTAAATGAAACCATCTGAAACATTTTGGAGGTGCCCCCCCCCATCCTGGGAACAGCCCTGCATCCCTCCTTTTAAGGTGCCAGGAGGCTGGGGCCAGGCAGGGCAGCTATGGGGGCTTCTCCCATGGCTTCTCCCACCGGGGCACAGGCAGGCACAGCTGGAGGAGCCATGGGAGAAGCCTCCATGGCTTCTCTGCCTGGCCCAAGCCTCCTGGCACTTAAAAAAAGCCCTGCACTCACTAGCTGCAGCAGTGGTGATCAGGACCTCTGAGGGCTCGTGACAGATTTTTCCCACACCTGGCACCCCATGGCATGAGTGCAGTGTGGCTCAGCAGGGTGCTGCCCGGGAGCTGGGCTCCAGCTCCCAGACGGTGCATGGCACCCTACTGAGCCATGCTGCTCCCACGTGATGTGGCAGCTACCACGCGGGTGCCAAGCAGTGGGCAGGGGACACTCCCCACAGTCCCATGATGCACAGGGGATTCTGGCACAAACCCTTAGAGGCCCTGATCACTGTTGCTGCAGCCGGTGAGTGCGGTGCTTCTTTAAAAGGGCCAGTAGGCCAGGGCCAGGGTGGGGGATGTGGCCAGGCAGGGCTGCCATGGGGACTTCTGCTGCTGCTTCTCTGGCTGTGCCTGCCTCTGCCCAGGCTGGGAGAGCCATGGGAGAAGCCCCCATGGCTGCTGTGCCCCACATGGGGCTTTTTTTTTTTTTTTATTTTTTAACTTCTTTGGTTAGGCCCACA